TCTTTCTTTCTTTCTTTCTTTCTTTCTTTCTTTCTTTCTTTCTTTCTTTCTTTCTTTCTTTCTTTTAGCTTCATTTATGCCCTTTATGCTCCATTTATGCCAGGGTGAGAGCCACATGTAGAGAAATGGGTGATTATGATCATTGGAATTACATACTCCAATGATGGTGTTCTTGAGACATTTTCCCCTTTTTAAAAAAAAGTTTAATGTTTTGGGGAAAGAAGTGATAACCATCATTGCGCAGGTGTGCATTCCGCATGGTAACTTGATTCCATGAGGAAACTTTACTATGAGATTGCGGGGAGCTAAGCAAATTGGGCACCACAGGTCTGTGGGTGGAACCCAGGCAATAGAGGGGATGGTGCTCTTGGTGTATTATAACTTCTGATGGTTTCAATTCCAGGAAACTTTAAGGGCTTGGGAGGTGTTCTAGGCCAGTGGTTCTTAACTGGAGCATGCATCAGAATCACCTGGCAGGTTGGTTAAAGTCTGGATTGAAGGGCTCCATCTCAGAGCTTCTACTCAGGATATCTGGGCTGGAGAGAATGCACATTTCTAACAAGCTCCCAGGTGACGCTGATGGCACCACCCTTAGAGAATTCCAGTCTGCTTCACTTCATGCCAAAGCTCTCAGTATTGACTCTAACTATTCTATTCTAGGCCAATGAGATGGTGCCATTAGTTAAAGGATCTCCCAGAGCCAGATTCCACAGCCCTGTGTGAGCCATCTCTAAAGTATCCATGCTGTCAGGAGCTTGTGTGTTGAACATTTTACAAAATCAGAGGGCAGCCTGGGAGATTTCCCTTCCGGAAGCTCCCTTCACATGTTGTCTAGGAGAACAGAATGAAGTCCGATGCAGCTGATGCAACTCCTGGTGGGTGAGCGTGTGTGTGTTCTTGGCTCACATGCGGTTTGTGTGTACTTTTAACTTGTGGGCTAAATATACACAGCGCGGACACTCCGAAACCTAGAGGAATGTTTCATCACAACTGCCATGCTCAAACACCTACACAGTGTGGACACTCTGAAACCTGGGTGGAAGTTTCATCACAACTCCCGTGCTCAAATACATGCCTACCAAATGATCCCGCCATTCTGTTCTTGGGTATCTTGTCAAGAGATAAGAAAGCATATGTAAAAGTATAAAATAAACACTGGCATGCGTGTGACTGTTCATGGCAGCTGTGTTGGGAGTAGTCCTAAACTGGAAACAAGCCACATGTTCATCAACAGGTGAATGGGTGGACAAATTGTGCGGTGTCATACCATGGAATATTACTTAACCACGAAAAGGAAGAAATGATTGGCGTACACACAAACAGCAATGTCGATAAATGACAAAATAATTATGCTGAGTGAAAGAAGCCAGAGAAGACTGAGCACATACCATACGATTCGATTTATATTAAATACTAGAAAATGTAGACTGTAGTGACAGAAGAAAAAAAAAAAAAGATTAGTGGTTGCCAAGAGACAAGAGCATGGGAAAATGGGGGAGGATTATGACAAATGTCATGAGGAAACTTGGGGGTAGTGGGTATATTCATTATCTTAATTGTGGTGATGTTTTCCCAGGTCAAAGCATCACCTTGTGCACTGCATATAAACACATGCAGTTTATTATGTGTCACACAAGCTAATCGCATTGTTTTTAAGAACCTGCCACCCTCCCTTAGAAATAAGGCTTTTGTGTGGCTGTGTTCCTGAAAAGAAAGGATCCTCAACTCTCCCCTTCTCTCAGCGAGATGAGCCCTCTCACCTTGTCCTGTTCTAATGTTCAGCTCCTGACTGATTTGGATGGTTCTGCAGAGGCCTTCCTCCATTTCATATTAGACAAAGGCAGAGTGAGAACTTGTTGCTTACTGAATATCATCCTCTCTGTGGGAAAGGAAGAGACCATTTGTCGTGAGAGTGCTTTACTCCAGGGTTAGACATTGCTAAGGGGATGGGCATGGACTTAGTGCACATCCTGGCTTCTTCTCTCACATGCGTCATTAAAGGGGTGATCTGCATCTTGTTCCTGTCAGTGCCCCCAGCCTGTGAATGTCTCAGAGGCTTCCAGTGGATTCTGAGCTCTGTTGTGAGCACTCAACTCCACTGGCCCAGACCACTCCCATTCAACCATGTTTGAGTGTCAGATATGGGGCTGGCAGGTGTTTGGGGTGCCATTGTGCCACATTCCTCTTCTCTTCTTCTTTTGTTTTTTGTGACAAAGTCTCGCTCTTGTGCCCCAGGCTGGAGTGCAATGGCATAACCTCTGCTCACTGCAACCTCCATCTCCCAAGTTTAAGCAATTCTCCTGCCTCAGCCTCCCTAGTAACTGGGATTACAGGCGCCAGCCATCAAACCCAGCTAATTTTTGTGTTTTTAGTAGAGACGCGGTTTCACCATGTTGGCCAAGCTGGTCTTGAACTCCTGACCTCAGGTGATCCGCCCGTCTCAGCTTCCCAAAGTGCTGGGATTACAGGCTTGAGCCGTCGTGCCCGGCCGTACCACATTCCTTTTTAAGAGAAATGGCTCACCTAAGCCCCTACTACCTGGGAGTCTTGCTCATACCATGTGTTAATCGTAGCCTCTGCTGTTTGGTCCTGAGATGGAGGTTGCTTAGAGGCAGGAGAGTGGGCAGAGGGGTCATGCAGGCTCATGCCTGGGCTGGCATCTGACCTATGACCTATTCTGATGGACAAAAAAAGTGACCTGAACTAACTCAATTCCTTTCTCAAGAATTTGGAACTGGGAAAGTGAGAGCCTGAGCTACAAGCAAGCAGTGAGAATGGAATCAGAGAGGCTGGGATGTAGGGGGTGAGGAAGGGCTGTGGGGAAGAGCAGCCATGGGACAGGGGCTGGAGAGATGGAGGTGCAGGAGCCTGGAGTAGGGAGAGAAAGGTGGTCAACAAGTGAGGAGTGGGAAGCCCAGGCCTCAGAAACATGACCGCAAACCCCTTTCAATCTCAAGAAAACGCTCAACGCTGGATGCCACGGGAAGCTGCTGGAAGGACTCAGATTCTGGAATCAGAAGCGGAATTTTGAACCCAGCATCACCATTTTACACCTGTCTGACCACAGGTGGGTACTGAACCACCTCTTGCCCAAGCTTCTTCATCTGTAAATGGGACCAGGAGCCCTCTTGACAGTGGATTGCTGGGGAGCCCTCACTCGGACGGCCCGACAGAGCCCCTGGCTGGAAGTCGGCTTCCCATGCATGTGAGTCCCTTCTCCACTGGCTGAGAGGAAGGGGCAGGCACTCAGGCTGGCTCCCCACTGCCTCTAGGGACTTTCCTGCTTTTTCTCCTCTACTCGACTGGTGCCCTGGAAGGTCACATGTGTCTCAAAATACACATCTGCGTTTTGTTTGGTCTATACAAGGTGGACCAACACAGTGTTAGTAAAGTTTGAATTAGGACAATGTATACAAAAAATTGGATTTCTGTATTTTCTTTAAAAATTGGGTCATTTGGATACACTGAACCTGTATTCCTGCCGGGCAACAGCTGCGGGTGTGGAGCGAGTGGGCTCTCCAGATAGACCCAGGCCCCACTCCTCCCAGCTTGGCCTCCCTGGCTCTGAGGCTGAGAGTTGGTGGCTGCAGTTTCCTTGGGCTGGGCCAGTCTTGCAGGGACCCTGTGGGTATTTGGGCTCATGACCATGGCTTCCTACCATACATGGTCTTACTCTTCGCCTGTCAGTGTTCTATGGCTGTGTAACAGATTACCACACATTAAGTGGCTTGAAACAACACCCATTCATTAACTCGCAGCTTCTGGAAGCCAGAATTCCAGGTAGTCTGGGCTGTAGTCTCAGCTCCCATGGCTGACCTCAAAGTGTTGGCCACTCTGGGCTCTTCTCTGGGGGCTTAAGGGGAGAATCTTCTCCACGCTCATTCAGGTTGTAGCAGAATTCACCTTCTTGTGGTGATAGGACTGTTTGCTATCAGCCGAGAATGCTCTCAGCAACTTGAGGCTGGTCACATGGCTCCTCCATCCGCAAAGCCAGCAACGGTGTGTTGAGCCTTTCTCAGGCTTTGAATCTCTTTGAATCCTTCTGTCTTCATCTTCTGCCTCTTCTTGAAAGGCCTCATGTGATTATACTGGGCCACTCAGATAATTCATGGTAAGCTCTCTATTTTAACATGAATGAATTAGTAACCTTAATTATGTCTGCAAAATTCCTTCTGCCATGTAAGGTAATGCTGTGGAGTGAATGTGTCACCCCAGACTCATATGTCAAAGCCTTGAACCCCAATGTGATGGTATTTGGAGGTGGCGCCTTTGGGAAGTAATTTGGGTTAGATGAAGTCACAAAAGTGATTCCCCCATGACAAGATTAGCATCTGTATTAGTCTGTTGACACATTGCTATATGAAACACCTGAGACTGGGTAATTTATAAAGAAAGAGCTTTAATTGGCTCATGGTTCTGCAGGCTGTCTAGGAAGCATGATGCTGGCATCTGCTTCGCTTCTGAGGAGGTCTCAGGAAACTTACAATCACGGCAGAAGGTAAAGGGGGAGTAGCGCTTCACATGGCCAAAGAAGGAGCAAGACTTGGGCAGGGGAGGTTTTACACACTTTAACACAACTAGATCTTGTGAGATCCCCATCAAAAGAACAGCACCAAGGGGATGGCGCTAAGCCATTCATGAAGGAGCCACTCCCATGACCCAATCACCTCCCACCTGGCCCCACCTCCAACACTGGGGATTCCAGTTTGACATGAGATTTGGTGAGGACACAGAACCAAACCATATCAGTGTTTTTATAAGAGGAAGAGACAACAGCGCTCGTTCTCTCTCTCTCCTCTCTCTCTCCATCCCCTCCCCGCTTTCTTACTCTCTCTGCC